CAAAAAAGCATTGTAGAAGAAAATATTTTTATTTAATTTTTAAACGCTTTCCACAAATTAGGATTTTTAAATTTAGGGATAAACTTCCGTTTAGCTCCTACGCCCAATTTTGTTCAAACTTGTCATAATGACGTGTTTTTGGGTCCTGATTACGGAAAAAATAGTCAAAGTTGGCGCAAAAACCCGGATCTTGAAACATAACGGTAAAAATCGTAAAATATTCGGTTTTTTTTCTGTTTTTTTTGGAAAATATAAGGAAAATAAAAAATGTTTCAGACAAAAAGAGAAGATAATTATAAAACGGATCTTTTGTGTACTAATCATTTTCTTCGTAAACATAAAGGTTTTCGAAAAAAATGTAAAATAAGTATTTTAATTAGGTGGTGAACATTTAAAAATACTGCAATATCCCGCCATAAAAATGGCGTCAGATAGTTTTCGATTAGCCGATAACAGGATTTTACCTTCTAATCTAGCGATGGACCTATTTTGACTTTTTATACGATGTATCGTGTTTATGTTCCGCGAAGAAAGGAAATGGAACGGATGACCTGAATGGAAGCTGGATAAGCCTTTAAAGAAATTAGTAAGTTACGGGCGAGAAAAGCGCCGCAGACAACAATTTTTTTAATCAAAAATCGCCGCGATTTTTGTTTAAAAAAATTTTTGCCTGCGACTTTTTAAATGATTTATATGTATTTTTTGTTATTACATTTTATTTCCGTTTTATAATTTGTATTTTATTTTGTTTTCTAAAACGCACAACATCATCATAATACTACTTACTTACTTACTTACTATTACACTCTATCTGTTTAATTTAAATTATTTAATGTTAAACGTAACTATTTTTCTTTGTTTATTTTGTACTAGCTGTACCCGGCGCGACTTCGTTCGCTTAAAATTAGTTTTGATTACGGTTGTCAAGACTTTCCATTTCCACACCACCCCTGAGGTCCAATTAGACCAATTCCACTGAAACTTTCTGGTTTAATAATGTTAATTAATAGATTACTTTAAAACCTCTGTGTAAAGAACATTTTTAGAAGATCCTTTAGGAGCCAGAATAATAAGGCTACTGGCGGAGCTAACTCTAGAGCATGCGACATAAAATTGTCTTCTCTAAGATCTAGTCCAGCCAGCTTTAAAGTCTGCCCCTGCGATTTACTTATAGTTATTGCAAACCAAACTTTTAGAGGGAATTGTAACCTTTTAAACTAAAACGGCAGACTGGATGGTATTAATGGGATCCTGGGTAGAAACACTGTTTCCCCCTTCGCGCATCCCGTAAATACTGTTGCTTCAATTACATTCTTATGAAGACCTTTTATCTGCAATCGTGTCCCATTGCATAACTTTGGGGGACTTAAATATTGCAATAACATTACGTGTGCTCCAATCCTAAGAGACAGATTATACTGAAAAATTCCTGGAGGATTCAAAGAATTTAAAAATTCAAAAGGGTAATGAACAGCATTGTCAGCATCAGGAACAGAGTCGACCGATTTATAGGAGACCATCATTCTAAACCATCAAATGAGTTTAGCAATATATTATTAATAGTGGTTGCTCTTTCATTTTTCGTTGTCAAAATGGCGCGCTCAGATAGCCAATCTAAGCTGTTACTTGATATGTTAGAAATGTCAGGAAATATTTTGGATGTAAGGTCTTGAACGTTTTTGACTACATTTCCTAAGCGTGATGTTATAACTATTTTTCCATCAGCTGTTTTTTTTTTTTTAAAAAAAAAAATTTTTGGAAAATTTTCTTTTTAAGTGCCCTCGCATTTTTTTCGTGAGCGCTAGTTTTTTTTATCTGTGGCCAAAAAAAAGCTCTTGCACCTCGTGGCACAACAGAAAGGGTTTGGCGAAAGTCTCCAGCTAGCAGGACTGTAATACCACCCATCAACATAGTATTCTCATTAATATCTTGAAGGGTTCTATTTATGGCTTCAAGCCCACCTTTATGTGACATGGTGCAGTCATCCCAAACAATTAACTTACAATCTTTAAACACCGAAGCCATATTGCATTGCTTTAAAATAGAGCAATTAGGTGTTTCTAAATTAACTAAATCCAAAGGAAGTTTAATATGTATAATAATAAAAATAGGCCTCTTCTAATTGCCTACTTCTCACTCCCAAAAATCGAATTGTGGCAAAGGAGAGCAAGTGTATTTTTTGCATACGCCTCTTCTAATACTTGCGATATTAATTTGTTAAATCGTCGATGAAAATAAATATCATCTTTTTAGATTCCTTAAAAACATATATTAAATTCAGATTGCTTAAACAAATATAATAAATGAATGTGAAGCAAGTAAAAGTGGTGAACTTGTATATTTTTTTTATCAGTTGCAATGTTATCAATGCAATTTTAATTTGCGCACAACTTGTTTGTAAATTGTAATTTGTGGTTTTGAATGAAACGAAAACATTTGTAGGTATACACAAAAGTAGCGAAGTAACTTTTTATTTTCTGCTTCCACATTTGATTGATAATTATTAAAATTAAACTCGTCAAATTTTGCATTAGCTGAAAGGAAATGAATAATTTTATTTGTATTTGAGCACATTATCGACTTTCAAGTAGAAACATAAACACACATTGTGTGTATGTATTGTATTGTACATGTATTGTACAAATCAAAACATATCCAAATATACATACGTATTTGGGCTAAAGTTCGAATCTTAAGATATTTAACTTGGAAACATTTTGGCTTTGTTTACAGAATTTGCAGTAATTTTTTATCTTCTTCCATGGTGGAAATTAAATAAGGCTCTTACTTCTGCTACAAAATGAAAAATATTTTTTTTTAAATAAAACCTAAGCATTTGAACCACAGGACTGACTATTGACCGAAAATCATATTGATCGGAACAGCAGTTAAAGTTTTTAAAATTCAAAACAAATTTTAACTAAAATTGCCCTTTTCCCCTCCCCCTTCCCCACAGCACCCCTCCCCATCGACAGTTTTCTTTACTGCTGCTCTCTCGGCCGTCGCTCTCTTGCCATCCGCTCTCTGGTTTTCGCTCTCTCGGCGGGCTCCCACGAAATGCAACGCAATAACTTATGAAAACTAAATAAATTCGGTAAAAATACTTTAAAAAAAATGTTAAAAACTTAAAAAATTAAACTTAAGCATTTGGGACATAGAATAACCATTTACCAAAAATTCATCTTGATCGGAGCAGCGGTTTAGATTTTTTAAAGCGAAAAGTTAATTTTAAATGTAGCCCCCAAATTATGGGGCATATCGAAATTTCTTTTAGATTTCTAATTAGGCCCTTTCAAGACCTAAAATTCTGCAAAATCAAAATTTCGAAATTCCAACCACTTTAGAAGCTAAGCTTAAGTAAATCTAATGATTTTTTGCTCTAAATATGGATATTGGAGCTGTTTGGGGCCACTGGGGGGACATGTCGGGCCTTAGTGGGCGCCTACGCCCCCAATGGAATACTGTGAAAAAATTTGGCTGCTCTAGCTCTTATGGTTTAGGCTGTGGTCGTATCCCCCTAAAAATCGGTCTTTCATTTTATAATCTTTAGAGATTCCTCTTTATTAATTTTGTATTACCTTTTAAGTTTTGTAAAATACCCTATTATTAATTTTTCCAAAGTGACCGATGTAATAATTTATAAGACCTAGTCTTGTCGCATCGGGATAAATCAAATAAATAAATTAAATTAAATTAAATTTTTTATTTAACTACGAGAACAGAAATGCTCTTCTTAAAATTTAATCAAAAATCGCCGCTATATTTGTTTACAAAATTTTTTGCCTGCGACTTTTTAAATGATTTATATGTATTCTTTGTTATTACATTTTATTTCCGTTTTATAATTTGTATTTTATTTTGTTTTCTAAATTTTATATTTAACTACGAGAACAGAAATGCTCTTCTTAAAAAATTTTATGCCATTCTCGTGCTTATGTAGTATCATCGCTAATACATCGGGAGACATCGATATAAATTTTGACACACCGATATAACATGAAGCTTTCGTGCGATATATCGGGCAAAATGACGCAAGTGTGCTTCAACGGTTTTTTATTTTCAAATATTGTAAAAAATGATCCTATTTAGCGTTTTTAACGAAAACTATTAGCTTAACAGAAAAAATGTATAAAACATAAAATACTAATTTATTTAAAAGCTTTCATTTCTCCTAGCTAGCTTTTTGATTAAGTTAATATATACGAAGATATTTAATAAAAACAGTTTTTACCGTTATTTTCCATGATCCCGTTATTTGCGCCAACTTTGACTATTTTTCCCGTAATCAGGACCGAAAAACACGTCGATGTGGAAAGTTTGAACAAAATTGGGCGTAGGAGCTAAACGGAAGTTGACCCATTTGCTTAATTTCCAAAAATGCACAAAAAAAATTTCAATATAATATCTTTTAAACTTGAGTTTTTGAACCAAAAACGGGTTTTTTGCCCACAGTGCCACGGTTGATTTTATATTATTTTTTTTGTTAGATATCGTGGATTGCGGGGGTGTTTTTGGTAGCACGTTGTTTTTGTTTTTTGTATGCTTCGGCAGTTCGCAGCACTCACGAGCGTCAACAGAAGCAGAGCGAGAGAGTTGTGAGCAGAGAGTGAGTCATTTGAAGCGAAAGAGCCCCAGTCGGAAGTTTGGGAGTGGTCGGCGTTTCGGAATGCTTCCGGAACGCATCTTTGTCCACAGAAAAAATGCGATACAATGTTGGACAGCATCCAGAATGCATTCTAAATGCATTCCCAAGTCATCACTCCCCTAAAGGTTCTTTTGGAAGGCAAAATGGGAGCGATCCGTGCAATCGTAGCTTCTCGTACGTCGCAGCCGAACCCTTGCCGAAACCCGAACGCTGGCCGATCGTTCGTTTTTTTTTTCAATCGGTGCAATCATAGCTTCCATCGGAATGCATCCGGAATGCATCCATTGGCATGGAAAATATGAAATGATAATCTTAAACGGTGGTCTTGAAAAACAAATGAAAAGAACAAAAGAGACATTGCAAGAACGCGCGCGGTTTTTTCGTTTCTTATGCATTTCTTCTCACTTGCTTTTTGGAATCTGACCAGTTAAGTGTTATTGATTTTTCGGTTAAACAATTTTAATCGTTTTATTTGTTTATAGTTCTTTAAATCAAACATTTGTGCTTTTCTGTGCCAAGTAAGTATAGTGCGGTGATAAGTGGAAATAAAAAATAATAACTCTACAAAAAAATATACCTCTAAAGAGGTAAAATAACTAACTAAATAAAAGTGTATTTATTTTTGTAAACAAACAAAATCAATTGTGTGTGTGTGTCTAATAAACAAAGCGGTTAAAATAATTCTTATTCGGCCACTGCATCGCGTTGTTTACGGTTTTTGCCTATGCACAGTGTTTGTACATACTGTGAACCCAACAGTGAACGGACACCCATTTTTTTCTTATAATAATACTGCCCTAAAATCATACAAAAAAAGTGAAACACAAATTTTTGGATCGTTTTTAATATTTAGTGTTATCCATTAATAGCCTCCATATTTAAAACACAACTCACAACAATCATAAAAATAAAATAAACAATCAATTAAAATCAGTTATGAGTTGTGTTTTAAATATGCAGGCTTTTTGTTTTTGTTAAAATATTTAGAGCTGTCAGTGGAAGCTTAAAATAAAGCAGTTTTATGATAGAAAAAAATGGGTGTCCGTTCACTGTTGGGTTCACTGTACCTGCTGTGTGCCGAATAAGAATTGTTCACAACATTATACTAACTAATTATTGTTTTTATTTTTTGCATGACCTCTTGGACGGATTTTTGACAACGGAAGAACAACAACATCAAAACCTGTAAGTATTAAATTTAATTGTAATTTCTGTGTAACAAAAGTGCCGTTTTGTTTTCATTTCTTGGTTTCATGTGTTCCCTTTTTGTTTTCGTTTCTGTTAAGGTGGACCTAAGTCCTTTTTTTATTTAACTCTAATTTTAAAACGTGCGTATTTTTTTTTCAGATTTCGATGTTTAAAGCCTATATTGGGGACTCGCTTTCCAAAAACCTCAGCCGCATTATCAGCCCAGAGCTGATAATGCAGATGAATTATGCGGGCTGTAGACAAAAGGAAGGGTTCTCCACATTTGCTGCGTTGAACGCAGTAATGTACGGTAAGTGTTAATCATTATTGATGTTAATTTTGCGATTTCGTCTAACAACATTTTAAAACGCTATATTTTGCAGAATCTCAAAAGAGGGAAGGCTATAGGCATGAAGATTTTATAAAGGATATTCGAGCCGCCTTTACCCGACAAAAAAACCGGGTCTATAAGGACGCTAGCAAAAGAAAGGCGACGACGAGCAAAGACAAAGGACCGGACAAGGACAACGATTTGGACATCGATATTGAGGATGAGGAAATCGAGTAGAAATATTTTTTTTCAGAAGCACTCTAAAAGATGCGTTCCAGAACGCATTTTTTTGAACGCAACCAAAAGCACCATTAAAGATGCGTTCCAGCACGCATTTTTTGAACGCAACCAGAAGCACTCCAAAAGATGCGATCCGGAACGCATCTTTTGGAACGCATCCACAAGCATTCCAAAAAATGCGTTCTGGATCGCATCTTTTGGAAGGGAAAAATGGAAACCAATCCCGAGCGTTTCCGAAGTTTCCAGCCAAGCTCGATGCGTGAAAAGGGAGCGCTCCAGGAGGCTCCAGGAGCGATGAATCGGAATGCATCTTTTTTGTCCCGCTTTGCTGTAAAAAGAAAGTGAGAAGTGCATCGATTCGGCATGCATGCATCGGTGCTTCGGATGCTATCCATCATCCCTTCTGGATGCGTTCCACTTCCGACTGGGAGCGGCAGCCAATGTTTTTTTCTGGTGTGAAAATACCTGACCAAAATTTTACTATTTGGATACCAGAACGGGTTATCTAAAGTTTAGCTAATGGAAGGATAAATTTATCCAGGTGGCAAATCGGTTTTCGTTTTCTCGTCCGTCATTTAAAACTCCAAATAAAAGGCGCAATAATTTGAGACTAGGTGGCAGCCCCGCAACAGAATAGTTAACTGTCAAAAATTGCCAACACTTATAAGAAAACTGCCGCTTGCGTAGAATCTAAGAGTTATTAGAAGCTTAACCCATGACTGTATTGTCGTTTCCCTGTAATAATGGTTTTTAATTATATGGAATTAGTTAAATCAAATGAATGCACTTACTTCTTTACTGTATACCCAGTCGGAAGTGGAACGCATCCAGAAGGGATGATGGATAGCATCCAAAGCACCGATGCACCGATCGATGAACTTCTCGCTTCCTTTTTACAGCAAAGCGGGACAAAATGGGTGCTATCCGATGAAGCGCTCCTGGAGCGCTCCCTTTTCACGCATCGGCTATGGGTTTCAACTTCGGGAAACGTTCGGGATTGGTTTCCATTTTTCCCTTCCAAAAGATGCGATCCAGAACGCATCTTTTGGAATGCTTCTGAATGCGTTCCAAAAGATGCGTTCTGGATCGCATCTTTGATGTGCTTCTGGATGCAATCCAAAAGATGCGTTCTGGATCGCATCTTTTGGATTTCTTTTGGATGCTTTAAAATGCGGCTTTCACGAGTGAAAAAAATACGTTTTTTTTCAAATTTTATATTTCTTTCTTTAATTTTCTTTTTAAACATATTAAAATTAAATTAAGCCTACTTCTTCCCCATCATCCTCAATGGTCCGATCCTTTATCTGCACTGGTCGTCGCCTTTCTTCGTGTAGTCTCTTTATACCCTTCCCTCTTCTGAGATTCTGCAAAATAGAGAGTTTTAAAATTTTGTTAGACGAAATTGCCAAATTAACAGCAACAATCTTTAATACTTACCGTACAGAGCTTCGTTCAACGCAGCAAATGTGGAGAACCCTTCCTTTTGCCTACAATTGAAACCAAAACGGCACTTTTGTTACACAAAAACTAAAATTAAATTTAATACTTACAGTTGTTGATGTTGTTGCTCTTCCGTTATCAAAAATCCGTCCATGAGGTCATGCAAAGAATAAAAACAATAATTGGTTAGTACAATGTTGTGAAAAATTCTCATTCGGCACACTGCAGGTACAGTGAACCCCACGCATAATCGGACACCCGTTTTTTCTAACATAAAACTGCTTTATTTAAACATTAAAATGTTATTCATTAGTAATATAAAAAATAATTTAAGCTTTTCACTGATAGCTCTTAATATTTTAACAAAAACAATATATTTAAAACACAACTTATAATTGATTTTTATTGATTTTTGTGTTTTAAATATGGAGGCTATTAATAGATAACACAAAAATTTAAATAAGAGCCAAAAAATTGTGTTTTACTTTTTTTTGTATGATTTTAGAGCAGTTTTATGATAGAACAAAAATGGGTGTCCGACTATGCGTGGGGTTCACTGTATGTACAAACACTGTGCATAGGTAAAAACCTTAAACAACGCGATGCAGTGGCCGAATAAGAATTATTTTAAAAGCACGCTGTTTATTAAACACACACCCAATTATTTTTGTTTGGTTAAAAAAATTAAATACACTTTTATTTGGTTATGGCTATTTTACCTCGTTAAGAGATATTATTTTTTATTTAATATTTCCACTTATCACCGCACTATACTTACTTGGCACAAAAAAGCACAAATGATTGTTTTTCAAGAACTATACACAAATAAAACGATTAAAATTGGTTTAACCGAAAAATCAATTACACTTAACTGGTCAAATTCCAAAAAGCAAGTGACAAGAAATGCATAAGAAACGAAAAACCCGCGCGCGTTCTTGCTATGTCTCTTTTGTTCTTCTCATTTGTTTTTTCAAAAGTACCGTTTCAAAGATTATTATTTCATATTTTCCTTTCCAATGGATGCACTCCGGATGCATTCCGATGGATGCTATAATTGCACCGATTGAAAAAAAAAAACGAACGATCGGCAAGCGTTCGAGTTTCGGCAAGGGTTCGGCTGCGACGTACGAGAAGCTACGATTGCACGGATCGCTCCCATTTTGCCTTCCAAAAGAACCTATAGGGGAGTGATGACTTGGGTTGCATCTAGAATGCATTCTGGATGCTGTTCAACATTGTATCGCATTTTTACTGTGGACAAAGATGCGAGCCGGATGCATTCCGAAAACCGACCACTCCAAAACTTCCGACTGGGACGTTATACGTGTGCGAGCAGCGCGCCGGCAGAACAAAACCCTATGCACAGCTTTTTCGTAAGCGAACACATTTAAAAAATTCTTCATCACTGTAATGTTCGAAGTAATTTCCCATAGAAAGGACACGGAATTTTTGTTTTAATTAAAAAAAAAAACTTTGGATTGGTTTTCAAGGGGAGAGCAGGGAAAAACTTTCAGTCCTCACATTTGTATGTGAGAAACGCAATGACACAAACACATGGATAAATTGGCATGTACATAAGTATGTAATGATTAAATTAAGATAAAACAAGAGAGAACGCTATAGTCGGGTTGGTGTCCCGACTATCTAATACCCGTCACTCAGCTAAAGGGAGTTCGAACGCTGCACTCGGGTTGGTGACCCGACTAATATTCGTAACTCAGCTAAAGGGAGTGCGAGGGAGATAGATATATAAATTTTGATTGCGTATAACTTTTTAATGAATGGTCCGATTTGAAAAATGTCTTCTACATTTCGATAGGTATAAGTATACACAACAAAATGGCATTTATACTTCTCGGAAATCTTTAAAGATGTGGGCGCAGGACCCATTTTAAAATCGTTAGTGGGCGATTGTGGGCGTTAGAGGGCGCGTGCGCTGCGTGGGAAATGTGTGGGAAATCTCAACCTTCTAGCTTTTGTAGTTTCTGAGATCTCAGCGTTTATACAGACGGACATGGCTAGATCGACTCGGCTAGTGCCCCTGATCAAGAATATATATACTTTATGGGGTCGGAAACGCTTCCTTCTAGCTGTTACATAATTTTGCACGAATCTAATATACCCTTTTACTCTACGAGTAACGGGTATAATCACGGATCACCTAAAGGATGCAATTCTAAATCAAATATTTTGCAAAAATTTAAAAAAAAATTGCTTTTAAAGTGTGTTAAAGACGAGGGCGTTCGAAGAAAATTGTTGGAAAATTTCGTCTCCAAAATTACACCCACAGTTTTCACCCAAAAGAGTTGGAGCTTTAGGTGCTTTTTTAATTTTCCTTATTTCCGGAATTATTTAACTTATTGATTACCAGCCGACATTGGGGCACTTCCTTTTTTGTTTACCTACCGATACTGCGAGCGGATCCGGTTTTCGCTTAAAGCCTTTTGGCCGTAGCCTTTTATAGGTATTTGTGTGTTATTTTTATATATTCTTTTTTATGTTTTTAAGGTTGATGGGGGTTAGATCTGTTCGAAATAAACGGTAAAAAAGAGTAAGAGTATTTCTCTGCATTCGCTTAGCTAACCAAAATGATATAATTAGGCTACCAAAACGGTGGAGTTAAGGTGGGAATAAGGTGAGGTTAGTTGTGGGGTTAAGTTGTGATTAAGGAGGTATCACTATGGACGGCAGTCCATGTAGTGACGAAGCGCACCAGGAGAGTGTGCGAAGGCGACTACTATTATATAGCCGCAAAATTGAAAATCTGCTGTGATAGTCAGATCGTAATGAGTAATACACCAATCTAAAGGTATTGCAAAAACTTAAAGGATTGCATACCAAGACTTTAAGGAAACCAATTGGATTGGGAGAGAGAGCGGTGAAAGTAAAAAATTGCAAATTTCGAAATTTGGAGCTGTTGGGGCCGGTGGGGATAAATGCCCCCTCGCAATGTTTTAGTTGTGTTCCTATTGAAAATACCCGTCGAATGAGGGGTATGATAAAATCCGACGCTCCGTTCAAAAGTTATAGCCAAAATAAGATTTTCTTCCCCCCAAAATGAAAATTTAATTCTGTTTGTCAGTATGTCCAAAATATGTTTTTTAAGTTCTGAAAATTTGATATGACGTTCATCACATCGATATAAAAAACTTTTGTTATACCACTTTTGGAAAAACTCGCTAGTTTGGCAGGAAAACAGCTATAAATAGCTAAAATTCGGAAAGCAGTAACTTCTATACTACTAAAGCTATAGACTTGTGTTGCATCTCGTTTAAAAGGTATTTTTAAATGCTATAAACGCCTTCTATATGCAATTTGTGTAAATGTAATAGTTAAAAAGATATGAACAAAAGAAAATTTGTTTAAACTTTCTATTTAGCTTTTTTTAAATTTTCTCAAAAACGGCTTTAACGATTTTCCTTACAACTTTAAACTTTATAGCCCTTGAGATTCCTTAAATTTTGGTATATATCATGTTACTGTAAAAAATCACTTTTAAAAGTTATTAAAAAACGACAATAGCCACTTTTGCCAGCTCAGAACAACTAACGCTTCCTGAGTGTTGAATTTTGTCCGTGGGTATCCAAACTGTATATTAGGGTATTGAAATCAGTTAATTTGCATTTAACAGTTCCATATAGGAATCTTTTGTTCTACGACTTTTGAAAAAACCCTCTACTTTAGCGGGAAAAAAGCTAAAAATAGCTAAATTTCGTTAGTTTTTAAGTTCTACACTACTAAAGGTACAGACATGTGCTATACCTCGTTTAAAAGGTATTTTGAAATACTTAAACGCCTTTTTAACTTAATTTGTTTAAATACAATGGCTTACAAATTATGATTGACCAATTTAAATTTAAATTTAAATGTATATTTAGCTCCTATGAGAGCAAATGTAAACAAACAAAAACTTCTGATATCAAATAAAAGCACCTCTTAACGAGGTAAAAAACTAGTGACGATCGCACCTTCATCATACAAAAGTTCTGATATCAACATTTGTGACGAAAAATTATTACACTCGTCATTAAATAGACTTTCTAATATTTTCTCATTCGGCACGCTGCAATAGAAAATGCCTGTGAAGGAAAAAGGCTGGAATAGTTTGCTAGTGCGGGCCGAATGATAAAGTTTTAGAAAGTGTATTTAATGACGAGTGTAATAATTTTTCGTCACAATTGTTGATATCAGAACTTTTGTATGTTGAAGGTGCGATCGTCACTAGTTTTTTACCTCGTTAAGGGCCTTTTTCTCGTCCGTCCTGCAAAGTAAAATTTAGCTAATAGAAGGATAAATTTATCCCGGTAGCAAATCGGTTTTCGTTTTCTCGTCCGTCATTTAAAACTCAAAATAAAAGGCGCACTATTTTGAGACTGGGTGGTTCGCACTTCAGACAATTCGACGATATCCCACAGAGTTTGAAGATAAATCGCTCGGGAATTAATTTTAAAATCAATTGGATGACATTAACAATTTTGATTTGTATTTAACTGTAAATAGAATCACCTGTTTTCGAATGAAGAGTGGAACCAGATTGACAACGCTCAAATGTCTGGCAACACTTGCGCACAATCCAACCGCACAAATTTTGCACGTTGGATGAAGTACCGAGACAAAATTTGTCCCTACCTGTGCTAACATAAGGACGAGTAAACCATTTTTTGTTTATCGCTCCGTTGTCCCGGCAGCAGTGTTGCCAGATGAACATTTTGCTTTCCCCCTAAAAAATCTCAAACAGTCGATATTTCCCCCTAAAAAATCCAGTTTTCCCCCTAAATTCAAAAATTTACTTAATTTCGAAAATATACAATAAAATAAGAAATAAATCAATATGGCGTTGTAGAAATTTTCAGATTGGAAAAATCTCTGTATAGTAATTTGTTGTTTAACATATATTTATTATTATATTTTGAAATACATGTATATATTTATTTATATACTACAAAACGAGATCGAATTTTAAGAGATCACCTCGAGAACTTCATTTGAGAAATTGGTTTTTGGAAGCACTGGAGGCATGTTAAACTTAAATTCAATTATTAACCAACAACGAAAAACCCCTAAATCTAGGGGGAAAACCCCTGATCTGGGAACACTGCCCGGCAGGCAAACTAAAGTACGGACGAGAAAACGGCCCCAAGAGGTGTTTTTATTCGATTAGAAAGATTAGGGTAAAAGTAATGTAATAGCCTCTTCCCATAGGTTGGGATTTTTGACGAATGTAAAACTCGTGTTCCCACAGAAGTCCATCCGCCATCTACCTCAACATTAACGAAAGGGGATTTCAACTCGGGAAAACTGTCTTAAAATTGCGTTCCCCTAATTTTATTGTAGAAATATAACGAAAACATCAATGTTTGCAGCGAAGTCCCAGAATATGTTCTGCCCTTCGTATATAATAACTAATACTAATTAAAAGAGTACTATGTACTCCTAAAAAGTTCCAAAGTTGCTATAATTTACCAAAAACAGCATCAATTTTGGTTTAGTTTACAAATTTTTCATATTAATATTGGCTAGGCAGAGGAGTAGTAAGAGCGGAGTGTGGGGTACTGGAGGTTAGGCTCCCCCCAGTCTGAAATATGTATGCATACTCTTTGTAGGATATGTTATAAACGTTCAGATATGTTTTTAAACTATTTTCTTAATCTATTTATTGTATTATTCTGTAAAAAAAATAGGAGAACGCAATTTTACGAAAGTTTTCCCGAGTTGAAATTAGAGCCTTGCATGAATCATTCAATTTTTGTTTTATCATAGTATGCCATGAAATTTCTGATTTGTTTAATTCAATTCTATATGAAATAAATTTAATGTTGTTCTAATTCATTTCGAATTGAATGAATTGAATAAATTATTTTATGAATTTTTTGAATTTTCCAGATTTTTTTTCTGCTTTCTTTTGAGAACAAAAAGTGGATAATTTTTAACAAATCAATGTTAACTGCATAGTAAATAAAATTCAGGCAGATTTAATCACAAAATTATGGCCCTTTCTTCTTTAAAATAAATTGTCGTTTGAATTATTTCGGAATTCATGCCATTCATTCATTCAATTCTATTAAACTCAAAATTCAAATTCATTCAATTCTATTAAACTCAAAAATTCTAATTAATTCATTCATATAACAAAAAAAATTCAAAATAATTCATTGGATCCATTCATGCAGGGCTCTAGTTGAAATCCCCTTTCGTTATTGTTGAGCTAAGCAACTGCTCTTCAGTCAGCTGTTATTGGATGGTAGATGGCGGATGGAGTTCTGTGAGAACACGAGTTTCACATTCGTCAAAAATACCAACCGTTTCAAACGGATGGACTCTATGGGAAGAGGCTATAACTGGGAAATTTTCGGAACGGCAAATCCTTACGGACCATCCGTTCAATAGATGGTAGATGGTGGATGGAGCTCCGTTCATCATCCTATAATAACCTCTTCCCATAGAGTCCATCCGTTTGAAACGGTTGGGATTTTTGACGAATGTGAAACTCGTGATAAAACATCGCCTAACTATCGCATAAAAGAGCCTGTCAAAGTCCGTCAAAATTGGATGGTGGACTAACTGGGAAATTTTCGGAACGGCAAAACCTTACGGGCCATCTGTTCAACGGATGGTGGATCGAGCTCTGTGGGAAGACCCTATTATCAAACTTTTGCAATGCAGTTGAATACCCCTATTGTGTTGATATTTTTCAGGTGTAACCGTATTCAGGGAGTGTCAGATCCAAAAATCGACATAAATTTGTTATTGCTAAAAAAAACTTGACATATATCAATAATTTTGAAATATCATGGTGATATTGTAAACAATAAATAACAGCAAAAAAAACTATAGATTTAAACTATTTTGTTCAGTTTTTGGGAAGGTTTGTCTTTTGCAAGTGACTGTCCGATTATGCGATGGAGCCACTGTACATTTTTATTTTTTTCTATGGTATATATATAAACATGGAATCGTATAAAAAGTGTATTTTCCAGAACTGGACGGTATAATTTATCGATAATTTCCATATAAAAAAAATTAGAGTAATAATAAATGAATTCAATTTATTACTATTTAAGGTTGTTGTTATATCAAGACGTTATCAATTGGAAATTCAATCACAGTTCCAGGTCACGCAGAATTGTAGTCTTCCAGCTATACACCATTTGATGCACCTGATTTGACACCTATCCACACCAAAGATTATACTAACCGTATCCGTACTTAAAATTGCAGCAATGCCGTGTTGGTACTATGACAAGAAGGAGCTTCGAGAAACACCCTCAATTCTAGACGGGATAAGCTTTGAAACCGAGCGGCGATACCGGAAGGAGGGCGCTCGTTTTATCATGGAATGTGGCACCAAGATGGGCTTAGGCCACAACACAATGGCCACTGGTGTGGTTTACTTTCATCGCTTCTACATGTTTCACTCGTTTCGCAGTTTTCCCCGCTACGTGACTGCCTGCTGTTGCCTATTCTTTGCGGGCAAAGTCGAGGAGACCCCTAAGAAGTGTCGCGATATTATCAAAACTGCTCGTGGCATCCTCAACGACAACTACTTTTACTCGTTCGGCGAGGACCCCAAGGAAGAAGTCATGACACTGGAGCGAATCCTGCTGCAGACAATTAAGTTTGACTTGCAAGTTGAGCATCCGTACACTTTCCTCCTAAAATACGCTAAGTGCTTCAAGGGCGATCAGCAGAAGCTTCAGAAAATGGTTCAAATGGCGTGGAACTTCGTCAACGATTCTCTCAGCACCGTGGTTTGTCTTCAGTGGGAACCGGAGATTATTGCCGTAGCCCTTATCCACTTGGCCAGCAAGCTAAGCAAGTTCACTGTGCAGGACTGGGAGGGCCGCCAGCCACAGCACCAGCGCTGGTGGGATATGTTCGTGTCGGATGTGACGATGGAGATCCTCGAGGACATCTGCCACCAGGTTCTGGATCTTTATCAGTCCACTCAAAAAGAAACGCACCAGTCAAGCAGTCCGCCCCAAAAGCCGCCAAGCCGGGCAGAAAGCCCAACAGCGGTCAAATCCACAAATTCGACTGTCATTATGCTATCCTCCGTTCAACAACAGCAGCCACCGCCCGTAAGTGGCAACGGCAACTTGCAGGAGGTTAACAATATCCAGAGCATCAAATCGCTGGCGGGTGGAGTGCCCGTCCTAAGTTCCGGCGACGCTCCGTCGCTTCCACAGGGTCCAACGCCTCCCGGCCAGTCTCACGGCTACCACCTCTATCATGCTCCGCCACCACCGCCCCCGCCTGTAGTGCCTAATGTACCCTACCCCACCTCAGCTTGGGGCGTCCAGCAGACACTGCCCCCACCGCCAATGCCGCCCAGTTTGCCGCCTGGGCCGAGTGGCTTCTACAGCACTGGTGGTCGACAACAGCAGCAGCGGTACTAGTAAGAGAGGTGACAAACCATAAAACTAATAAAATAAAGCAACATATTGATTAAAAACATCGTGGCAGGGGTAAATTTCTAAAACAAGTTTCCCTTGGCTGCACAGAAGTCGTATGGGGGGAACAAAATGATTCTAATCAACATTATCGAACATATGGGCACTTCCAAAAAAAAGTCCACCAAGCCAAAAACCTTGAAACTTGAATAAAACATATTTCCACATAATTTTGGCCCGATATTAGTTTCTAATTAATTGGATACTGAGCTTAACTACAAATTTGGAGTATAGTTTGATTATTTTTATGACAAAGCCCACCAATATACGCAAAAATCAGTTTTTGGCTATTTTTTTGTAATTTTTTGGACCTGTCTTCTGTTGTTAATTTATCCTATAGGAATGCTAATATGTGACATTTTTCTGTACTGAATGCTTCATTCACATGCTAAACTATTAAGTTAAAAGTAAAACATCCAGCAATTGAGACATAGAGGTAAAGAAATCCGCTATACAAAACAGTCGGAAAAAATGTCCCGAGCGAATGTGGTTGAAACTGCATAAAAAAAAAACGGCAAAGAATTTTTGAGTAAAACCAAAAGCATTTCACAGCGACATGTTTGAACAACATTCTAAAAAAATCGCATTCAAATATTCCATCAGAATTCGCTAATTTCTGGTGTTGTATGAACTTCCCCGAAATCCACTTCTATTTTTGTCCCGAGCGAATACCTCAGTTTTTTACCGATATCTTAAAAACTAAAAGTGGTACAAAATCAAGATTTTTACCAAAAATAGAGCTTGGGAAAAGTGAAAAGAAAAGCCCATAATTAAAATTAAAATCCATTGTTTTACAATTTTGTTTCAACTTTAAAGGTGTGCAAATGTCCCGAGCGACATTTTGGAAGTGCCCATATGTACAGTGGCTCCATCGCATAATCGGACACCTACTTTCATAAAATAAACATGCAAAAAAAATTAATAAAATGGTTTAAATTCGTCGTTTTTTTTGCTTTTACTTATACATAATGCTAATATCTTCCAAAAACATAAACAAGAATTACATATTTTCCACGAAAACACTTAGTTTTCCAACAAAAACAACAAAAAATCCGATTTTTAAGGTTCAACGAATAATCGGACACTCGCTAAATATGGTTATTTTTTATGGAACTTGCTGCAAACTTGGGGTTTTTGGCATTGAGATTACTTTGTAGTAGAAATTAAGAGAAGAAACCATCACTACACTGCAAAAAAAAGTTGAAATGACTCCAAGAAAAGCCATTTTCTGTGAAACTTCGTCAGTTGATTGGAAAACTCAATTTCGAACTGATAACTGTACGGAAATTCACTGCATTGGTCGGAGAAGTCAAGTCCATTGTCCAGGACATTATTATATAGTTCCGGGATACATTTTAATTTGACAATAGAGGCGGGGAAGGCCAAATCAAGATGTTAATGACGGCGTAATTCCAAAGTACCTTAAGATTTTAAGAGATAAAAAATATTTAAAAAATTATTGTTTAATGTTTCTTTCGTTGGTCTGAAAGTGTATTAAACAACAAACAAAATGAGGTATCGTTTATAAAAATCGGTTCACAACTTACCTAAAAGATGGGTTCGAGAACATTCTTGTTAAGCTGAAAGCTTCGTTTTTATTGAAATTTGTATGGAAATCGTGCTTTTTGACCAAGCAGTTATTGGTTTGGTTATAGTTTGGTCCATTTTTTAGGTAAGTTGTGAACCGATTTTTATAAACGATACATCATTTTGTCGGTTGTTTAATGCACTTTCAGACCAACGAAAGAAACATTAAAAAATAATTTTTTAAATATTTGTTATCCTTTAAAATCTTAAGGTACTTTGGAATTATGCCGTCATTAACATCTTGAATTGGCCTTTCCCGCCTCTATTGTCATCTTAAAATGTATCCCGGAACCTCATTATAATGTCCAGGACAATAGACTTGACTTCTCCGACCAATCCAGTGAATTTCCGAACAGTTTTCAGTTCGAAATTGAGTTTTCCAATCAACTGACGAAGTTTCACAGAAAATGGCTTTCCTTGGAGCCATTTAAACTTTTTTTTCAGTGTAGTGATGGTTTCTTCTCTTAATTTCTACTACAAAGTAATCTCAATGCCAAAAACCCCAAGTTTGCAGCAAGTTCCATAAAAAATAACCATATTTAGCGAGTGTCCGATTATTCGTTGAACCTTAAAAATCGGATTTTTTGTTGTTTTTGTTGGAAAACTAAGTGTTTTCGTGGAAAATATGTAATTTTTGTTTAGGTTTTTGGAAGATATTAGCATTATATATAAGTAAAAGCAAAAAAAACGACGAATTTAACCCATTTTATTCATTTTTTTTGCATGCTTATTATATGAAAGTAGGTGTCCGATTATGCGATGGAGCCACTGTATGTACATTAGGGTGGACTTTTTCAAGGTCGATTGAGCTCAGCATCTGAAATGGTAAAAAAATTATTTTAAAGTTTAGGCGGTGCGCAGCGATCCCAAAGTTCCAGTGAAATAACTTGTACGAATCGTAATATTTTTCTTTCTTCGTTAACTTGTCAACTTTTTTGTTCCGCTCGAATAAAAGAGTTATGTAGAAGTTTATTGTAGAGCTCCTGCCTCCGAGCAAAAAAGACCGAGTTCGATCCCGGACCCATATTTTTTTTTGTGTGACTCGCACTATATAGAGATTCTACATATATTATAACTTGGAAGATTAACTGTCACTTTTGCGTTCGCCAATAAAAGTTATATTCAAAGAAATGCTGGCTATCACTATGGACTGCAGTCCATGTAGTGACGAAGCGCACAAGGAGATTGTGCGAAGGCGACTACTATTATATAGCCGCAAAATTGAAAATCTGCTGTGGTAGTCCGATCGTAATGAGTAATACACCAAATTAAAGGTATTGCTAAAACTTAAAGGATTGCATACCAAGACATCAAAAAAATCAATTGGTTTGGGAGAGAGCGGTGAAAATTTAGAAATTTGGATCTGTTGAGGTCGATGGTGATAATTGGCCCCCCGGACTACGTTAGTTGTATTCCTACTGGAAATTCGCTTAATATAAACAGAGGACGCTTCGTTCAAAAGTTATTCCGAAAACAAATTTGCGGGGGCCTAGTCAAAATGAAAATTTAATTCTGTTTGTCAGTTTGTCCGCTTGTCAGTTTGTCCGCTTGTCAGTTTGTCCAAAACATGTTTTTTAAGTTCTGAAAATTTGATATGACGTTCATCACATCGATATAAAAAACTTTTGAAAAACCCGCTGGTTTAGCGGGAAAACAGCTATAAATAGCTAAAATTCGGAAAGCTGTAACTATACAATACTACTAAAGCTACAGACTTGTGCTGCATCTCGTTTGAAAGGTATTTTTAAATGTTATAAACGCCCTCTATATGCAATTTGTGTAAATGTAATAGTTAAAAAGATATGAACAAAAGAATTTTTTTTTTAACTTTCTTTTTAGCTTTTTTTTATTTTTCTCAAAAACGGCTCTAACGATTTTCCTTACAACTTTAAACTGTATAGCCCTTGAGATTCCTTAAATTTTGGTATATGTATAACACATTAATGTAAAAAGTCACGTTTAAAAGTTATTTCTATACGAAAATAGCCACTTTTGCCAGCTCGAACAACTAACGCTCCCTGAGTATTGAATTTTGTGTGAGGGTATCTGAACTGTATTTTAGGGTCATGGAATCAGTAAATTTGCACTTAAGGGGCTGTCCATATATTACGTAATCACCTAGGGGGGAGGGGGTCATTGAAATGATTATGTTTGATTACATGGGGAGGGGGGGTGGGTCTTGCACAATGATTACGTAATCATTTTATATGTATTTTTTATTTAAAGAATTTTTTTAAAAACTTTTTCTTTAAATATATCTGCAAACTTAGATAGGAAAGCAGAGAAAAAATTTTTTTTAGTGGCTGGGCGGCGAGAAAGAGAATGTTTAGTGGTTCAATCACACGAAGAATGCGAAGACCTGGAATGGCTTGACGAAGAGTATGTTGGAGATAATTTCAGCGTATACGAACCGAATGTGTCATACCAAACTCCATTTATAAACAATATTAAAGATTGGGTTGCATCTCTGTTTGAATCCACATATTAAAACAAAAAAAATTGTATTCTTGGGATTACGTAATCATTGGGGGAGGGGGGGGTATTTATTGAAAGATTACGTTTGATCACCAAGGGGGGGAGGGGGTCAAAAATCAGCAAAAACGTGATTACGTAATATATGGACAGCCCCTAAGAGTTCCATATAGGAATCTTTTGTTCTACGACTTTTGGAAAAAGCCACTACTTTAGCGGGAAAAAGCTAAAAATAGCTACATTTAGTTAGTTTGTAAGTTCTACACTACCAAAGGTACAGACATGTGCCATACCTCGTTTAAAAGGTATTTTAAAATTAAAAGCAAAAGTAAACAAACAAAATCTTCTGATATCAAATAAAAACACCTCTTAACGAGGTAAAAAACAAGTGACGATCGCACCTTTAACGTACAAAAGTTCTGATATCAACTTTTGTGACGAAAAATGATTTTATATGCGACTAAATAAGTACGTTACCTAAAATGTATTTATTCGCCACGCTACAACAGAAAACTTTCGTGTAGATATTAAATATTTGCTAAAGCGGGCCGAACGAGTAAATTTTAGGTAGCGTACTTATTTAGTCGCATCTAAAATCATTTTTCGTCACAAAAGTTGATATCAGAACTTTTGTACGTTGAAGGTGCGATCGTCACTTGTTATATCCGTTACTCGTAGAGTAAAAGGGTATATTGTATTCGTGCAAAAGTATGTACACTCAAAATATTTTTTTTCTAAAATTTTATAAAATCGCCATAAAATGAAATTTTTTCTTAATTTTAGAAAATTTTCTGAATTTTAGAAATTGTTTTCTTGAATCTAGGAAAAAAGACCATAAAAACAGAATTTTATAAAAAACCTTTCTAAAATTTAGAAACATTATTTTTTTTCCTAAATCAATGGTGTTTTTCCTAGCTTGCTCTCCAAAAGTTTTCTTAAATTA